GCCCCTTGTATAACCTTATATACAACATATAGTAACCATATAGCAAGTTTGGGCAGAAATTTATCAAATCCTAACTCACTTATATCATCCAAAAATCATCACAACAACTTGAAAATAGGTATCACTAGCTCAATTCTAAGCTTAACAACCACTTGATTATGATTCATGGAGAAGAAAAGGGTGATCAGCCAATATACCTTAAGACAAAGCCTTGCAAGAGTGATCCTCCACTATTTCTTGAGATTTTTGGTTCCCTTAGCTTCCCAAGCTTCCAAACTTACAATCAATCGGTTTAGTTTTCTTGTTGCTCACTTAAATGGATCAAACTCAAGATGGGTTGGAGTTTCTTTCTCTTGGTTTCTCTCCCTCTCACTCTCGGCCAAGACAACCAGAAATGAAGAAGAAATGCAGTCCAAGGAAAGATAAGAAAGGAAGAAAGAAAATATCAAACAAGGACCCAATAGAGTTGGACAAGTGTCACCACCATAGCCAAGCATTTTTCTCTCTCTTCCCTTACATTTTTAGGCCACAAATTTCGGTCAAGCTAGCTGGAAATTGAGAAGATATTTTGCTCAAATATCAATAAGCTTGTATGGTAAGAAAGTGGTGGTCAAGTGGTGCGTTCAACCGGTAGTGCGCGGGACCCGCCGATTCGCGCCGTTTTTCTTAAAAACTCACGTACTAGGGTTTTTACTTCTCAGTTACTAACCTTATCTCATTGCCACTAATCACATATTATTTCTCACTTAAAAGTCACTTTTAATCCCCAAATTAATTCTTACTCTGTACCGAAAATTCATCCGGCGGAAAATCGCGAAAACCCTAATTTGCCCCAATCTTGAAAACGAAGAGTGAAACCCTACTTTCTAGGCTCATTTGCACTTATTATGGAATAAATGGATAGTAGGGCTTTAATAAATAATAATTTCCAAATAAAAGGAACTTTTTAAGAAAACGTGAGGAATTTTCCAATTCCAGTGATTAAAATTAGGGTTTCAATTAAAATGTGAGAGATTTAAGAAAACTGGTTAGTCACAAGTAGACTAGGGTTTTTGACTAAAATATTAGGGTTTCTAGTCTTTTAAAACAAAATAAGGTTTTAAATCAAACCCGAAGAAATATACTTTAATATTTTCTTCACAAACAACCTCCTAATATTCGGGATGTTACAATGACTGTGAGGACTTGATAAGTATTTATTTGATTTGAGATGGCCTGACTGCAATGATCTAGGTCTCTATCTCATTTTGGATATCTTATACCCGTAGTTTGGTCCTTGATGAAATACCCTTGCCTATATTTCCTTGATACCTATCCACTAATGTTCCCGTATGAACTTGGCTTGATTATTAGCGTACTGAGACTGAGAGTTTTGGAAGTAGGTAAAGAGATTTTGAAAATAAAGATGTGACATAAGGTGTGAAACTCTTGATATACGAAGTATGCTTTAAGGTTTCAATATGTATATACATGATACGTGGTATAGTATCATAAGATATTGTCCTAACTATGTTCTATTTTCCCGCCTATTTCATTTAAGCATATCTAAGTTTAATCTTCTATGGTTGAATTGGGAGTAAAGGAACTTAACAGTTATATGGTTAGATTGCCACTTATACCTAGTTACTTATTATGATTCGGTAACTTGCCTGGCAGGCTATCACTTGAGTTCCACCGAATCCGCGAGATGGCATACTTGGTTGGTATGTATAAGGAAATCGAGATTCTTCGAAACGCAGTAGAGGTTCAAAAGAGATTAGCCAAGTACTGGGAAGAGTGATGGAAACATGAATACTCGGAGAAAATTGAGCTATTTTATGAGAACATAGAATTGAAAAGGCAATGCGAAGAGATTTCAGCAGAGACTTTAGTAAGGGCACAAATTAATACTTTTATGGAAGTTCCAGAGAAAATCCAAAGGATAAAAATTTTAGGTGCACAGGGTAAAGGCCTTCCATGCAAAGAAAAGGGGTGCACTTAGTGAAATTCAAAGACAAGAACAAGGTGATCCAGGTAGGCCACTCGCTAAGGTAGGTAGAGGAACTAGTGGTGTGAGAATTTTGGGGTCACCTAAAGAAGATATTCCGAGAGGGGCCTCACCAAGAGATCAAATCTCAATTCCACACCTATCTTGTGGCTATTGTGGAAAAATCAATCATACTGAGGTGAATTGTTGGAAAAAAAGGGGAAAATGTCTGCGTTGTAGGGGCACTAATCATTAGGTTGCTAACTACCCAGTTGTACTACGCGACGGGAAAAGAACCCAGCAACCAATCAAGACTAACCCTGGATAGATGAAGGGGAAAAGGACTGGATTGAAAGTACCGGCTCGGGTGAATTCCCTAGAGCAACTTCAGATCTCTGACTCGTCTGAGGACATAGAAGGTATGATCCGCCGTCTAACGCAGATTTTGATAGATTCCATTGAGAAGGAAATTTTGAGGACAAAATTTCTTTAAGGGAGAGTGTGTGAGGACCCGTAAATTTTTCTTATTTTATATTATTTTTTTATTTTCTCTCATGCATTTTCTTCACTATACCCTATGATATTGATTTTCTAGAGATTTTATAAGTTAATAGAGTTTTTAAATCATTTTTCTGATATAAGTTAGTTCATATTAAGTTTGGAGTGCATTATGGACGTGGGACCCGCTAGTCTATCCCCACATTGGAAGGGACAACACTCGCCCTAAGTGTGAGGATAGATAAAGTGTCAGGTTAGATTATTTAGACTGACACATTTAAATGCCGTTAAATGCCATTTTTGTTGTAGTGTTGTCTGAGTTTTTTGCCAGATGCGCCTGATAGCTTGCCATTTTGTATTTTTTCTTTGAGCAAAGGGATGATCAATCTTTTTCCTTCAAGAATACAAAGGCTGGATGCATTTCTTCTTGAATATCTGGTTTTTCTGACTCCATTTGATGGGTCTGATGGGTCTTGGAATATCAATTCGAGATCTAGTTAGTTTTGATGGATTTCATTTTTCAGATATTCCTTGTATTTGAGACTGTCTCTTTAATTTGTTGAAGATCCATGTCTCCTCAGTTTGTCCTTTGTATTTGCTGGAAAACCATGTTTCCTCTATATAAGATTCCACCTTGAGGCTTGGGTACTCGATATTAAGTACTTTCAGCTTATCTGGCTGCAAATGTTTGTAGGTTATGAAAGAATATATAAATACTTTAGGAATTTTTTCCAGATTATTATTTGTAGATTTTTCTTCTGAATTTTCCCTAGGAATAAGTTTGTTACTAGAAGGGGAATTAAGTTCAGGAGACAAATTAATAAATATTTGTGAAGAATTCTGAATTATATTTTTATTTGACTAGGTTTCAACTTGTTGATTTTCTTGTTTAGAAGAAATAATTTTGTTTGTGGATCTCTAATAACCTTAGACTTGGTGAGACGTTGAGAAGAAAATTCAGTAGTTTCTTCTTTTTCTGTTTGAAGATTTTTGATAGTTATTGGTTTGACACTAGGTTGAGTTTTAGATAAGACATTTATTGTGGAATATCCTATGCCGAAAGAGTTTCCTATGTCTTTTCTTACATCAAGACTAGTGGTGTTATTAGAATAATTCATTTTTTTTTCGAAACGTTAGAAGATATTCATTCATTTGACAAAGAAATTACATGTACGAGCAACGGCTCGAGATCTCTATACAACTAGTGCGCATCAGGCACTGAGGAAATTCCATTCCTCATCCACTAAAATGCCAAAGGCATGAGAACTTAAATCTCTACTACGCTTAATACTATTTTCATTTGCCAAACTAAACAAGCACAATCGAAACAACTTTTGCATGCTCAGTATGTCCTCTATCAAGTAGCTAGCCTACTGTTAGAGGGACTGTTGTATTTAATCTGTCTCATAAGGTCCTGGCTTTGAAACTGGATCGTGATTCTGCTCCACTGATGCTCAAAAGCTTTGCACAAGACCAGATGGACAGCCATTGCTTCATCTATGACTTTGTCCCCTTTACTTCGCTCCTTGAGTGCCCATTCCGCCAGCCTAAGACTTGGGTGCTTTGTTGCTGTGACTCCTATCCCGTGAAGTCTGGCCATTCTGGCTTGTTATAGCCACTTCCAGCTTGATGGTGCCCTCTTCATTACACCCATGATGTTGCTCTTCCTTATTACAGGTTGTTTCTCTTATGCTCAATCTAGTCTTGCCTTTCGTAAATTCCTCTTGCTCCAGCCACTCTTTTTGGGCTTTACCAATTGTACGAGCTGGAGAACAGCTGGTCTTGTTTTCAAATTCCTTGCATTTCTTTCTTTCCACAACTGCCATAAGATAATGGCAGTCAGGCCTATGTGTTCCATCCCTCCTTGCCTAGTCCTTGCTTCTGAAATTCTGATCCACCACCTTCTGAAGTCCCCTTTTTGATCCATAGCACCGTCCCATTGTATTGGAGCAGCCTTCCATACCTGCTGCGAGTGCTGGCAGTTTAGCATTAAGTGTTCAACTGTTTCTTGATCCTCTCCACATAATCTGCACACTGGATCTCCCATTCTAGTTTTTCTAAAGATTGCTGCTCTTACTGGCAATGCCCCTGTTATACATTTCCAGATGAAGATCTTCACTTTATGTTTGATGTTGAGCTTCCACAAAGTGGTCCACATTTGTCGAGACTGCTGATCTTCTCCTATGATGCTTGGGCCTGCTTCCTCTGGTGCTATCTGCTTGACATTGGTACGCTCTTTCATTATACATTTATAGCCTGAGCTGACAGTATAGATTCCCCCTGGGTTGTGTTGCCAATAATAGTTGTCCTCCCTCCCCATCAGCTTAAGGAATATTCAGGATCTTTTCAGCATCGCTTTGATTAAAATGCTGAAAGATGGTGTTTTTCCATCTATGGTGGCTTATTAGTCACCATCTTCAATAGCTTTGAGGACCAAGAGAGGTTGGCCTACCTGAACTGGAACCTGGAATCCATCTATGGCCCCAAATGCTCGTACTTCTCCCGTTACCAATTCTTCTGATCACCCCTTTCTCAACTACCTCCTAGCACCTAGCAGTCCTTGCCATATCCAAGAAGCATTCTGCTTAGGCCTGCAAGTTAGTATTGAATCCTTTGGGAAGTATCTTGCTCTCAGCACTTTACTAATGAGAAGGTTTGGTTTGGTGAGGATTCTCCATACCTGCTTACCCAGTAAAGCTTTGTTATAAGCTTCGATGTCCTTAAAACCCAAGCCTCCTGCATTCCTGCTTAAAGACATTTTCCTCCAAGATAACCAATGCAGTTTTTTTTCCCATTTGCTTCCCCCCACCAATAGTTAGCCATTAGAGCGCTTATGTCTTTACATAGCTTTCTTGGCAGCTTGAACACAGACATGGCATAAGTAGGCATTGCCATTGAGACTGCTTTAAGCATTACTTCCTTGCCCGCTGTGCTCAGTAACTTGTTCCTCCAGTCGTGCATCTTTCTCTTAATGTTTTCCTTTATGAAACCAAAGATTTGCTCTTTTGTCCTAGAGATCACCATGGGCAGTCCTAGATACTTACCTTGTGTCATCTCTGTCATTCCTCCCAGTGCGCTGCACACGTCTTGTCTTTGTTCCATGGGCATATTTTTACTGAAGAAAACAGAAGACTTCTCCAGGTTGATCAACTGACCTGAGGCCTCCTCATACATTTTAAGAATCTTCATGACTTCCTTTGCCTGCTGTTTATTTGCTTTGCAGAATATGAGGGAATCGTCTGCAAAAAAGAGGTGGGTGATGAATGGTCCTTGTCTACTTATCCTCAGCCCCTTTATATCATTTCTCTTTTGCTTTCTTCAGCAAATTTGAGAAACCTTCTGAGCAAATTAGGAACAAGTACGGGGACAGTGGGTCCCCTTGTCTTATTCCCCTTGTTGGAGCTATAAAACCTTTGTTATCCCATTACAATTGAAAGAGTACGTGACAGTCTTCAAACAGCTAGTTATCCATGTAATCCATTGTGCACAAAAACCCATCTTTTGCATCATTGCCTGTAAGAAATGCCACTCCACTCTATCATATGCTTTAGCCATATCCAACTTGATTGCCATGTATCCTTCTTTTCCTTGCCTTTTGTTTTTGAGGTAATGTATGTATTCATGAGCTAGGATTACATTGTCTAAAATTTGTCTGTCAGGGATGAAAGCAGATTGTGTGTTACTAATGCACCTGTCCAGAACAAGCTTCAATCTATTTGCCAAAATTTTGGAAATGGTTTTGTAGATGACACTACACAGGCTAATGGGTCTAAAATTTTCACATTTGTTGGATTCATGATTTTAGGGATGAGTGAAATGACAGTATGGTTTATGGATTTTAGCATGAAACCTGAGCTAAAGAAAGACTGGATTGCTGGAACCAAGTCTCCTTTGATAGTACTCCAGAAACGTTGGAAGAATAAAGGGGTCATGCCATCTTGGCCTGGAGCTTTATCAGGCTGCATTGAGAAGAGAGCTGCTCTGATTTCCTCTTCCTCAACAGACTTAGTTAAATTGGTGTTCATTTCCTGAGTTATAGAGTGGGGATACCCTCTAGCATCTCAGTCATATCTCTCCTACCTCCACTGGTAAACAACTCACTGAAATAGTTAGATATTTCTGTGGTTACTTCCTCTTCATTCTCTGTCCATGAGCCATCATCCCTTTGCAGATTTCTAATCATATTCCTGGTTCTTCTCCCTTTAACATAAGCATGGAAGTACCTTGTATTTTTATCCTATCCTTAACCATTCGATCCTTGCCTTTTGGCACCAGAATTGCTTCTCCTTTTCGTATGCCTCATTCAGTTGGTGTTTGATCACAGCTGTTACATCTTTTTTGTTAACAGAGTTCGAGCCTCTCACAGCTTCCAGCTTTTCCTTAAGTCCTCAATCTGGCTTTTTGAATTTGCTTGGAAGGTGTTCCTCCACTTCAACAGTTCTATCCTACAACTTCTGATCTTTCTAGTAATCCTGAACATACGTGAACCAGGCTCTTCCAACTGCCAAGCTTTCTCCACCACCTGATTGCACCCTTCCCTTTGAAGCCATCGTTTATCAAAATGGAACTTCTTTTTCCTTCTTTCCTTATGTGGCTCAGTGTCCAAAAGGAGCATGCTGTGGTCTGATGCATAGGTATCCAGGTGTTGGCATCTTGTCTTATCAAAAGTCTGGACCCATTCATAGCTAGCCAGACATCTATCTAGCCTCTGTCTGATTTCTCCCTCTTCCTCCCAGTGGTTACTCCAAGTCCAGGGATGTCCTTCATAACCTAGATCTATCAAGTTACTCTGGTCAATAAAGTCCTTGAAGTCCTTAAAGCTTCTCTCCTCCCTGAGAGTTCCACCCCATTTCTCTTCATTCGATACTATATCATTGAAATCTCCAGCAATCAAGACCTATCTCCCCATAGCCTACTTCTATTTCTCAAAACTCTCCATTGTTCCTTCCTAATCTGATGATCACAACTCGCATAAATTCTACAAGCCACCAATCACAAAGAGACTCTTGATCCTCAATTCTTACCTCTATGGTGAAAGCAGACTGATTGATTTCCATGATCTTAGTGTCCTCTTTCCACATCACAGCCATGCCACCTGCCTTGTGCATAGCTTCCACTACAAAACTATTATCAAATCTTAAACCTTTAGCCAACCTGTCTACCACTAGTTTCCTGTTCTTAGTCTCACACAAAAAGATCACATTTGGGGAGAGGAGGTTGTTAACCTCCCTTAGGTGGGGAACTGTCAAGGGCTCCCCACTCCTTGACAGTTCCAGACCAAAGCCCTCATTTCTTTTGTGGGGCCCCATTAGGGAAGGACCCCACCTCCACCTCAGTCATAGCTGTGTATCCTACTAACTCCCGAGGCTTCGCTCGTTTGCCTGGTGCCTCTTGCTGATGCGCATCCTCCATGTCCTCGTCATATAGCTGAAACTGCCTTTTCCTTCCTCCTTCAGTGATAATAACCTGATCATTCCTCTCTTTCAGAGCCCTTCTTGTTCTCATTGGGGACTTCAACTTCTTGTAAGACCTTTTGGCTTGTTTGTTAATAGCTTCTTGAATCTTAGTAATACCTTGAGGCTCTTCCTGCCTCCCTGCCATCTGAACTGGAATCTCTAGTAATCTATTCTCCTGTCCCAGCCATTTTGTGCAAAAAATCTCTGTCCTCCTCCAAAACCTCCATTTCAACTACAGACTGATTCTCCTCTACATTCTCCTGAGCTACACGAGGAACATCAAGATTTTCCTTGTTCGAGGATTGGGGGTCCTCTCTACTTCCATGTTCCCTTCCACTAGTTTCCACATCAATGTAGGGATCACTACGATTTTGCAGGACCCCCTTTTCATTCTCATGTTCTTTCGTAAACTCCTGGGAACTTCCATGTCCTAATCCTGAGGTTCTAAGAGCCTTTAGAAGCACCTCACCTGATTGGGTCCTTCTCTTCTCCCTCTCCACCATTTCTCCATTCTGGAACTTCCAGTATCTTTTATCCTTCACCGTATCATCCCTTACCACTCTCTCTTTGGCAGGGCTTCTGTTATTCCCAGCACGCATCCATGGGCCGTATTGGTTCTCCAACAGACCCTCTGGAACAGTTATGCTTTCTTTGCAAGTCCGTTCCCCATGTCCTACTATTCCACACTTATAACAGAAATCCGGGCACCTTTCATACTTAAAAGCGACCCACTTAAGTGACCCTGCTATCTGCACCAATGTTCCTCTGAGCAGGGGTTTGGACAGATCAACATGTACTAAAGCCTTCAAATGCCTACCTTCCTTTCCCCCTCCCTGAGGGATAACAACTTCCTTTACATCCTTAAAAACTACTCCAATTTTCCTGCCCACCTCTTTGGAGAGCCAATGCACAGGAAGGTTCCAAATCTGAACCCATAAAGGAGCAGTAATAAAAGCCCCATAATTCTCTTCTACCCCTTCTGACCATCTGTTCAACACTAAGCTTTGATTATCCATTAACCATGGACCCCTGTCACTATTCTTTCTATATCATCCTGGTTTGGGATATTGAATTGGAACAGGTTTGGTCCCAATTCCATGACTGTCAGATTCTTGGGGGTAACTCCATGCTGCAGTCACAAAATTCTTCACCCCGGTGAAGTTAGCTATCTTCTCACCCATGATTCTTCCTATCAGACTTCCTTCACAATCCTTTATTCCACTGCTCAGGTCCTCCAACTCCAGTTTAGCTCCAGAGATCTCATTCCCTCCAGCGAAAATCTTTGTAATAATTCAGATAAGTCACCCTCCATAGATAAGTTCTGAGATGCTAGCGGGTATTCTCTCGCTAAACTTAGAAGTTACGCCTTTTCAACTACCAGCCAAGAAATAGAAAAAACACAAGAGTAGCTAAGAAAGTAAAGAAAGCGAAAAAACAGGGGACAAAAACAAGCACAACTAGACCGAAACTATCACAGTAAATGGGACCAGCCAGGCTAACGACAAGAGGAAAAGAAAACACAGACAAATAATAAACGCTGTAGAAACTAATGCATGTGTACAGGCCTTACCTCTGAAACGGGAGCAAGGAAAAAAAGCAAGTCTTACCTTGCTTACAGCTGTTCATAAAGAGTAAGACTCAGGCTACTATGTGTTCCCCCTGGAGAGACATCCTTAAATTTCTTTGATTACGATGATTAAGCTGCGTGAATCTTCCTTGGTTACAGCCTCAGATCGGTAGTGGTGATGGTTGGAATATTGTAGAAAAAAGTGCGGGAATAGTATGAGTTTTGAAAACGTTTGAAACCATGCTGAAACTCCCACCAAAGGGAGGATGGCTCTTACCCCAAGAGAGAGCTTCCTCTACACTAGAGAGAGGATTTTCCAGAACTCAGCTCCCAAAATTTAGAATAATTCATTGGTTGACTCAAAACTCGAATGTTAGATCCTTGATTTGATATATTTATTGGGTTTGATAGATCTATGGGAGAATCTGGTAGATCTATAAATTTTTTTTCCAAAACTTTTGCGGATCTGATAGGTTTATAGATCCTAGTATGGAATCATAATTTGAAAAAGGTTTTGGTGAATTTGCTGAGTTAATATGAATTGATTTTGATGGATCTATTGATTCTGCTGGGAATTTGTGAGAGGATTCTGGTTCATGAATTGTTTGATGTCCTAGTTTATTCGGAAAATATTGAACAACATTTCAAACACCTAAATACCTTTCTTCATATTACCCAGAAAAATGGCCCGGTTGTCTCTCAAAAGAAAATTAGCCTTTTTCAAACCAAAATTAGGTTTCTTGGGCATCATATCCACTAAGGAACCACTACCCCCATAAATAGATCAATCCAGTTTGCTGATAAATTCCCTGACAAGGTATGGGGGGTTTTGGATTAAATGCTAACTAAATAAATTAACTGCAGAAAATAATTGATTAAGAGAAATAATTAAGGGAAAACTCTAGCTAATTTAGAATGCAAAAAAAGTGGGTTCATATTTGAGAAAGAAAGAGACTTGTTCTCAAAATATCATGGCTAATTACGTACAAATATGCTTAATTCACAACATTAATGTCTCAAATAGTGCTAAAACCACAAAATATCCAAGAAAATGAAATTCTTCATTATGTGAGAAAATAAAAATTTAAATGTTAGCTGTAAAAAAAAAAAGATTTTCTAATGAGTTTGAACTGAAAATTACTTCTTCCTACTGTAAGGTAGGATGTTCTGAGGAGAATGGCAATTAGTTCTAGGATTTTGTTTTTAAGCCGGAAATACTTTATTGGTTGCATCATCATACAAGGATCAAATTGGATACAGAATTAAGTGATGTTACAAAAGAAGATGGAGGAAAAAACGTGGATAGAGGCCATCATCTCCACCTCATGGGAACTAGAGATCACCCCAAGGATGCCTTCGGTATCCAGGGGTCATGCAAAGGTTGGTGATGGGGCAGAACAATGATGGGTGACAAGTGAAACTGAAGGTGAGTGATTTGGGAATATGATGGATGCCGAATATCATGTGAAGCAGACAAGACTAATAAAAATTTTAGCAATGTAGTCCCAGTGTAAACTCTTGAAGATGCTCTGGAAACTGCTTCTTGTTGGTTATAGCGAGACTACTGTAAAAATATGTGTTTGTGATTTTAGTAATTGTTGATGCTTCCATCATTTATAAAAGGGTAAAAAACACTTTACCACCATTGGTTTTGCGATTTTTCACGTAACCTCTCTATGCTTTCAAAAGTTATATATAACCTCCTTATAGTTTGAATTAAAGTGTTAAAATAATCTACATTCCATAACGGAGTTCACTGAAATGTCAAAAGTACTCCTATATGAAGTTGAAAATTATTTATTAACCATGGGAGGCTATACATGTATTTTGAAACCCATAAAAGGGTTATAGTAAAGCACTAAATTAGAAGGGGGTAATATGGTAAAATATAAAATCATAAGGGGGGCGGGGGGGTTATATAGTAAAATATAAAGGCATACCGGGTTAAAGTATCATGTATAATATGTTTATATATTGTAATCACTTTAACCACTTGAATTTTCAAACAAGGATAATTTTAACATTTTTATGGGTTCTGTTACAGAGAATCATTTCCTTCATTTTGACGTTTTAGTCTAAACTATAAATGAGCTATTTTGAAACTATAGAGGATTATGTGAAAAATCGCTAAATCACAGGGCAGTAAATGCAATTTACCAT